GCAGTCTACCCACTCCCCCCACCCCAGCCCCCCAACCTGTAATAGGAAATTCTCCTATTTCGTGCCCACCCCGCACCCCCCCCCTAGATAAGGGGTGGTTATGGGGCAACATATCACCGCAATTAGGGTTCAGGGTTTAGGGCGTTCAGAGTTTAGGTTTAGATTTAAGGATCCCACCCAACGCTCGGCTAGGCCTTTCAGAGAGTCCTGAGTCCTGACTCTCCTGACATAGCAGAATTAATGGTTGTGGGCTGCGAGGCTGCGAGGTTGATGGCTTCTGGTCACTATACGATTCTATGAGGCTATTGCGCAAGACCTTTTTGTTGATGACCCAAGCGCCCAACTACTCACCAGCAATGGGGGCGTGGCCCAGTGGCCCAAGTAATACTTCCTTCTTATTTCAACCCTGCATTTCTTGCGATTCTAGATTCTAGATTCTAGTTTTCAAGCGATTTTTCCAATGGCAGTGATTCACAGGTGATCATGACATCATGGGATGGGCGTTTGAAAATGTATTACTTGAATTGGAACCTGACAGTGGCCCCAAATGCCCACCACCCCAAATCATTCTGCATATATCATGTATCAGCTCCATGAATTTTGTTGCCCGAAAATTGCTGTGTCCCCGGGTCCCGTGTATCTGACCCCGACGGACTCCAAGTTTCCAAGGACCTGGCGGCCTGGCGTCTGGCGTGGCCCGTGGCCCGTGGCCTGTGGTCTGGTTATGCGGAGGAGTTTTAACGGCTTGGTGCAAGCCCTGAGGGCTAATTAATGGGGCTGAGCGGCTGAGCTGGGTCCAGGGCTAATCTATGAATCTATGCAGTGCCTTGAGTGCCTTGTGCCTTGTGCTGTGTCCCCGTATATAAATACAAATTACGCGATGCAGCCCCCCAAAATGTCATTTATGTTTGCTTCGCTACCAGCCTGGGCAGCCCTTCAGCAGAACTTCAGACTTCAGCACCACAGAGTAAATCCGCATGGCAGCGCGGCAGTGCAGTGCAGTGTGTAGCCAAGTCCATTCAGTCCATTCCCAGGCATTCACTAGGGTGTGTGACGTGACAACCGCTATACGCTATCCTCAGGTCCCCAGGCTTTATCTGTAGACAGTTGGTCTCCTGTTCAGTGTGTGGCATGCAGTGACAGTGACATACCTTCACATGAATTATAAACAATCGACATTGCAAGATGTTTCTCTGAAGCACGTCTACCGCTTTATCGCCTGTTCAAAGCCAACAACGTTAGACGTCATGACGTCATTCATGGTTTCCGGTTTCCAGTGCTTTTCTTGACAACTCCGTTTTGGGAGTGGATGCCGCAAGTCCTGCGTAACCCGAAGGACCCGAAGTACCTTACTTACCTTACTTCCTACTTCTTTTGCAGGAACTATAGTATTTCTAAAAAATGACGTAAGGTCAGGCTAATGTTATTCGGGTGATGCGGGATTTCAGTGTCAACAACAGCTAGCTTCAAGCATGGCCGTTGCTGTCATGACAGCTGCCGCAACACAATTTCTGGCAAGTTTTGTGGCGGACATCAGTGTGGCACAGAACCTCTTCATGCAAGCTGCGCAGCCTGTGCTAATGCATGGTAATGTGGACCAGGCAGGGTGCGGGCGCGCGGGCAGATTCACTAAGCATTTTGTCCTGGTCAAGTCAAGTCTCTGACGTGCCAGTGTTTGTATATTGTTATGACAGCCTCTAAATGACCTGAACTCGTCTCTTAAAATTCAAGCATCTGACATTCATTCCGTTGTTGTAGGTTGCAGCTGCTGTGCAGGCTGTCCTCGGGCTTTTGTCAGTCATCCTTATCTTGCTAAGTTTGCACAGTCTTGTTTCTCGTTGTCTGCGGTTGTTCTGCCCGCCTGGCTGCAGATTGTGGCCTTCCACAGAGGGATGTTCTTGTTGGTTGATGAAGCTGCGCAAGGCTGGATGGCTCTTGCATGTTCAGTTTGCCTTTCCGTGACGGATATGGAATCTGGACTCTCTGCCTTCAAACTAGCCTCAAGCCGCAATCCGCAAGCCAACATTCATTCTTGAACAGGCCGATGAACAGCTGAAGCGTGTTGTGAAACCGCCGCCACCGCCTTCAGCTGCACTAGACGTGGTCTTCAAACCCCAAGTCAAGCAGCGTCTGCGACGTGCTGGGAGACCTGCGTTCAGCGTGAAGCAATTGTTCCACTTTATGCAACTGTGCCTCGGCCTTTATTCTGAAGCTAGTGCGCTAGCCACTATAGCAGTACTGGCAGCCTGCAGCTGCCTGAATTTCGGATTTAGAAGACACGTCCGACGTCGGCTTAGTCGCCAAGGTCAATTCACTTGCGCAGCACGGTACGATTTCGTTTGTCAATGGAAGCAGCTTTGCAATTGGCCTCCGGAGAACTTGCAGAGAGTTTGCTAGACATGCCAGACTTCAATGTCAGTGCCAGTGCCAGTCCGACTCCCAGTGCCCCTGCAGCCCCTGCAAGTGAATCCCGTGGTGATGCCCGTGACAGCGGCGCATCAGACCGAGCAGGGAAGAACAAAGGGGTCAGATTGCTGGAGGTTGCGCGAGGTCCGGGCGCCAGCACTCTGAGTAAAGCGAGATACATGCTGGACATTTTGCTGATGTTGTTTCGTCGCCAGCAGTGGAAGACAACAAATTTCAATGCTTGGTGGATAAGTTTGAGATTCTTGGCAGCTTTCAACTTGTCATGTTGATGTTTGACAGTGGAGTGGATAGTTGCAGGCTCACAGGCTCACTTCATGTCATGTGGCAACAAGTCCATTCAGCGGCATCAGCGAAGGTTATGACAGCACAGGTTCCCTCAGAACGAAGGAAACATTCATGGTGGAGGAATGGACGTTGAAGAGCTCGGGCCTGGGGATGGATTCTGCTTCAAATCATCATGTGCAGTGGCATTGCGGGTACTTGGATTGAAAGTGACTTTATTCAAGTGAACCCACGCACAAAATCAGTTGTCCATCTCAACGGACAAAGGATAGGCCTTTGGCTTATTTAGCTTTGTCACTTGCGGACGCTTCAAGGCGCAAAGCTTTCTGACGCACTTCACTTCCAGTCGCAAACCCATGCTATGTTCGACTCAATCGACCCTGTGATGAGATTCTAAGAACAAGGAACTAAGAACACCCCGCTTTGCAACATCTCTTGTCTCTTGACTCAACTTTTCCATTGGTACGGTACGGGCAACCAGACTACCCCGACAAACCCTAGCCCCCGACTTCCCCCAACTTCCCTCGTGACCCTGATTCCTGTCGTCAGTCAATCAGGGATAATCAGCGGTCTTCGGTCTTCGGTCTTTGCCTTGTTCGTTCCGAGGATCCAAGATGCCATGGAGGCTTTTGAGCAGATCCACATTGAAGCTATCGAGGATGAGCCCGAGGGCGAGGAGGGATTGATGGATGATTAGGGTAGGAGATCATGATTGCGCCGCTCATATTGAGCCGAGCCATGCAATGCAATCATGCATTTTAGTAAGAAACGGCCGCATCTCTGATGTCATACTTCTTTGTCACGAACTCTCAGATGCTTGCTCGAGATCAGGAGTCTGGCCAATGTGATGCCAAGCTCAAGACAATGGATGCGAAGAGTGAAATGTTCGAATCGCCACAGCTACATCGACGACCCTTACCTATTATGTGTCTGGGCAAAGGCCACGCAGACTGCCGCTCAGGTTTGAGGTTTTGCGTTCTTGTTTTGGGGATTTGGGGGGTTTGGCCGTTTGGCCGCTTGGCCCAGCGCCAGGATGAAGTGCACTTGCCAGTCACTGCCAATCTTGCTGTTGCTGTTTAAACAGGGCTTGGGATCGATACGCCCAGGCTTCACCAGCTACTCGTGCAAGGTGGATGCGTTGCTGCACGCCATCCTGCTTGAGGTTGCCCATATAGACCGCGCTACCAACTTGCAGGAGTATTGCTCCCAAGTCATTTGCTGCTGCACAGACGAGGGTGGCTGCCTTGCTTCTTACGCGAGACACGCATTATGTTTCACATCCTGACTCGGGTAGGTAAGCTGGGCTAAGCTGGGCTAAGGGCTTCAGGTGTATAGTCCCCCTTGATAGAAGCAATATGGGGATCAAACCCGAGGAATCGAGGAATCTGCCATATAAGTCATATAAGTATCATATCAAAAAACAATTGTAGTAAGGCCTAGTACGGTTTGCCATGGTAGTAGTAGTAGTAGTAGTAGTACTACCAGTAGTAGTAGTAGTAGTAGTAGTAGTAGTAGGAGTAGTAGTAGTAGTAGTGGTAGTAAGGGCGATAGGTAGGTAAGGTTTGCGCCCGCAAGGGCGATAGGTAGGTAGGGTTCTTATCATATTATCCTATTATGATTATGATACAGCCAATACCCAGAGCCATATTCTTTCTACTCAAGGGGGATTATAAGTTCAGCCCATGTAGAAATTCCAGAACAAACGTGAAATCTGTGCCCAAGGTTCAACTGAGAGCAAACTTGGATATGCCCCCGTCATTGAAGCCAAGCTGGCTTGCTTGGGAGCCATTGAGAGCAAGGATCTTGCCAATCCGGATTTTCTGCATGGCGAGATGTTGGTGGCTGCCCTTGCAGACGGCCAGGCTGGCCAGGTACAGGTGCAGGGTGCGTTAAACAAGAAGGAGGATGATGAGGAAGGCAGTTGCCTAATGTCTGTTGCTGCTCCAGTCGAATGCCGAACACCGCCGTCAAAGTCTGCTGTTGGGGATGATGGCCAGCCACATGCTGCAAACGAAGCTACTGAGGCAGACGAACAAATTGAGGTGGCGCATCTCGATGTGACGGCAGATCTGTCTTCCCAATTCCCCAATGCCTTGATAATCCATGGGCTGAAGCACGTCGCTGACGGTGCCCTCGGCCGAACCCTGCAAGCGATGACTTTGTAGCTGGGTGATGTTTTGAGCCGAAACTTCAGCTACCTAATATCTCATCATTTGGAGGGTCCCATCAATCTTGTTAGCTTGTTGGTTGCAGAAACTCTAAACCCTAAACCATGCTCGTAGGTGCTTCCTTCCTTAAACCCAAATACCTACAGCTTTGTTGCCTTGACCCCTTCATCAATAGTACAAACCTCGCAAGTTATAGGTACATGAGGTTACAGGTTGGACTTAGGTACACAATGATGTGAGAATTCTTGCTCTTAGAGGTGCTATTGGGCCACATGATCATAGCTGCCAAGTCTGTAGTACTAATAGTACTATAATAATAAATGCCCCCCCTAATAATAGGTCAAATAGGTCACAAATTCCACATATTTCACAAGGCATATAATTTAATGGCTGCAGATAGGGGTTGCGCCGAAAGGCGATAGTGCGCCGAAAGGCGATAGTGCGGCGAAAGGCGATAGTGCGGCGAAAGGCGATAGTGCGCCGAAAGGCGATAGGGGTTACGCGCGGAAAGGCGATAGGTGTATCATGCCCAGGAAGAGTCCCCCTACCCCCCCAATATGCATGCTTATGGAAATTGGGCCCTACCTATTATTGTCCCCCCCCCCCACTCCCCCCCCCTTGAGATTGGCCCGTGCGTGGATTACCTCANNNNTGAACTGTACATGGACTGATAGCAACCCCTTATAGGGGGGGCATTAATAATAGCAATGAGAATATTAATAGTAAAGAACAAGGCTTGCCCGAAGCAAACCCACAACCCACCAAGACATTTGAAGGTGAGTGAAAATTGGCCCACAATTGAGGTTGAGACTCTTGAGGTGAGGGTATCCCGGTATCTTTGTAGTAATCCGTTCAACATTAAGGTGGAACCCGCTCAAGAAGCGCCTCAGAGCATTGAGCACTCTCCTTTCCATCCAGTACCGGGAGCGCTTCGTGGCCTGTTGCATTGGGTTTTCCGGCGAGCACGCAGCGGATGCGAGCCTTTTGAAGGCATTTGAGGCAAGCAATTGTTGAATTCACTGCTGCTGCAGTTTGGCTTGAAGAAGAGCTGTTGACAGAGTTGACAGGTTGAGATTCTGTCTGAAGATGTACCTGAGGCGCTGCAGCTACAACCTAAACTAACTGCGAGTTTCTGTGCGAGTCTTTTGCTGTCGTTCCCGAGTTCCCGAGGTATCTGAGCTGGAGGTGCCGTTGAGGCGACACTGGTCGAAGAACAACTTCCGGATGGGCAGTCGAGGACATGAGGGCGGCAAAACCTTCAAGCCTTGGGGGCTCAACACTGTGCGGGCCCCACTTTCTTCAATGTTCAGCAACATAGTGCAAAATATTGTACCGCCCACACTCAGGGCGCTAGAAAGATTATACATGCTCAATCTTAGCTTCGCTATTTTGCTGCTTGCAAGTCGCAGGCGTTCTTCCTTTCGTTCGGACCTTCAGCTTTCAGGGCTGCCACTGCCATCATGCCATGCTAGGGCCAAGGCTTCAGGGTGAACCTTAGGGACATACGTTCCACATTCATAACGAACAATAAAATTCAGAGATGCCCTGACCCTGACCCTGATCCAGCCCCAGCCTGAAAATCGGAACGTAGCTAGTGAACATGCTCTGCAGCAACAGCCCTAGCACTGACTGAGGATTTCGATACTGGCCCAACTCTAGAAGAGATAGACGGTGCCATCAGTGACTCCGATACATGGGCGTGGATGAGCGCTGTGAACTCCATTGCTTTTGAAGCAGAATATTTGGGAAGATGGGGGGAGGGCTCCATGGCAATCACAAGTTTGGCATCCGTCAGCTTCTTCGGTAGTTGGGGGTGACGAGTGACGGGTCTCTTTCTTTCGCCTGGCCTGGCTGAGGATGTCCTTGCCACGAAGATTCGAACTCTGAACCTCGTCTGAGCAAGCCAGCAGGGGCTCAGAAGCAAAAACGGCAGCAACGTGCAGCTCCGGAGACCAGATTTTGCTGGCTCAAGGGCTGCAGGGCTGTCGAGCTCGCGTCGGGAGACGCTCTTCGCGGACAATTGCGAGTTATGGCGAGTCATTGTACGCAGCTCTTAAGCCACTTGAGCGTCGCAAGCAACAGAGCTGAAGTCCTGCGGGACTGGCAGCACGCAAGGGCCACCCTGTGGTCAGGCATAATGCTCAAATTACGATACTGGGATGAACTTCCATACAAGTTGTGTGCCTCAGGTCATGAAGCAACAGCAGGGAAACTTCGCAGCGCAGTGCAGTTAGTTGTAGTTTAGTTTTAGTCGCTACGACCGGCAGGCAAAGGGTCTATGACATATGATGTTAAATGGCCACGGTGTCATGTCATGGTTGCACGCAGGGCGCCGATCAAGTTCGTGGTCTTTGTGTCGGTGAGTTTTGGTGTTTCACACAAGATGCATTCCATCGTGATTATGCTGCGTCATGCCATTTTTGACTTTCAACAGGGCTGCTGCGTGACTAAGGCGCTCTTGCGCATGAGAATGTCCACGTGGTCCAGAAAGTGGCCAAACAGGTGTTAATGCTTTATGACACAGCCGATGCCACAACTCCTGGTCCTGGTTGCTTGCGCAGGATGACACGTCGTTTCTGCCAGAAAGATTACAATGGTGGAGCCGATGATCCCGGACTTAGACCACTGATTGAGCGCCTAGCTAAGGGGGAGCACTACGCAGATTTCCTGCCCCACGAGAAACAGCCCCTGGCGAAGTGGTTGTCAGCGTTTCGGCACGTGTCTTGTCTTCATGTTCGGTGCTGGGTGGCAGGTGGGGCTGGGTTGCCAAATTTTACTAGCTGAGCAGCTGAGGTGCGAGTGGTAGAAAGGAGCGTGGAAGGGTTGCACGCGTTGACCAACCAAATCTACAGAAGAGCTCCCCGCAGCAAGATCTCGTATATGAGCTTGGAACTTCGCTGGCACCTGCTCATGGAAGATCACTCTCGAGATCCGCTTGCTTCTTGGTTCCTAAACCCTGGCTTTCAACAACGTACATACATGATTGCCCAGACAACCCAAAAGCTAGGGACGCGGAGGCGGAGGTGCATATCAGCGTCCGGACTCAAGCACTCATGCTTCAAACTGGTACGAATCCAAGCATGCTCGATCGTGCACGCAACCGTTGCAAATGCCAAGGAGCTGAAACGATTCATGAACGACGTGCGTGGCATCGAAACGCATGATGGCTTTGCGAAGGTTGTTCTGAAACTTGCCTGCGTCGTGTGCAGTAGTGCCTTGTGTTGTATCATGCTACCAGCCTGGGCAGTTGCAAAGCCTGAGGAGACTTTTGGGGTTACAGCCAACTCCGCATGTGTTGGGCCTGAGCATGCGGCAGCTTTCAGATTTGGTTTACCGCGATAATCTTCGTGTCAAACATCAGAAGAAACGGAAACTGGAGGAAACCTTGCAAAAACATGATGAACAACGCCGACAGCTGTGTCCAGCCGTTGCGGGCAAACCCAAAATCGAGCCCATGGCTACCTTGATCATCGAGCACATTTTGGAGGACGGAGCGGGGGGGTGGCGGGCAGTGTCCATGATGTACGCGTTGGGTGTGAAGAGCCGAGCTAAGGTTAGGGCACTAGAGCGTGGCCATTGGCTTGAAATCGCAAATGCTGTTTGCTCACCTAGATCTAGTTGACACCTCAGGCCGACTTTGGCCTCTGGATAGAAATATAACTAGGCGTGGCGTGGCATGGCATGATCCTGAATTCTGACCCACTATGTTCTCGAAAGGTCTCCAAAACCGAAAAGCTCTTGTTTTCGAGCGCCGCAGCGTCAGCTGGTGTGGTTGGACAAATTTCAGGGCAACCCCCATCTGGGGCAGGAGCCGCGTCTGAGTCAGGCGTTGCAAGTGGTGGGAACAGCATTTCACGACTGGGGCTGGAGCAGGGCGCAAGTGCAAGGCTTGCCTTGCAAGAAGGCCAAAGTGGCCAAAGCGCTGATGATGACAATGGCGACGGCGATGATGTGTCAGTGATGGTTTCGAGCATGGGTGCAGCGAGCAGCAGCAATACTGCTGCAACCAAGGCCCTTGTGGCTATGCAAACTGCTGTGGCTTCTGTGGGGACTCTGGGGACAGTTTCAGCCAACACGGCAATGGGTTTCAAATATCCTGCGAATTTGGGAAACGCCTTGCACTTGCTGCCTGCCGAAGCTCTGGAGTTGCCTGGGTCTTTCCTGCGTGAGCATGTTTTCATCGAAGTCATCTCGGATGCCAGCCACACACGGAGCAGCTGCATGCTCGGGGATGCTCCTTTGCCAAGTTTTGATTGTCTTGCGCAGATCTACCGAGGCAATGTGGATTCTCCAGAGGCGCCGGTCCGAGCATATGTAACCCCATTGGGAGCGCCTGTGGGCATCGCGTTCGGTTCTTCATTCGAGGCAATTGCCAGCAACTGGACAGTCTGGCTTGAGCTGAGTGACCATGACCTTCGTGGAGATCAGGCTGATTCATTTGCTTATGCAGTCAGCAAGCGTTTGGATTGCGGGCCGATTCCAAGGTCGGGGACTTGGGACTTAGACTTAAACATCATTCCATCCACGATTTCTACGAAAGCAAGGTAGATAGATGCCGATGTTGAACAGAGCGTGTTCATTTATCCGGGCGACCATATAACAGACTTGTTACTGTGTAGTGTAGTAGCCGCTAGGGCCTTGGCCTGGCCTTGGCCTTGGCCACCTGAAATCTTAGATGCAGACGTTGGAGTGGGCAGGGGAAATCCCTTCATCCTACACCCTGTACAGCTGCCTGTAAAACCTGAAGTCTGAAAGCCAAGCCCAACTTCGGACTCCAGACCCTCCCGGACAGGAGCCAGTTGACTGACGACGACCATGACGAGCATGAGCACGCGAAAGAACTCCTTCTCCGGATTGCAAATCATGGTGCTTTTTTGCAACATGCAGGCCGCCCAGCTGTGAGACCATGCTTCTGCCACGAATCCTCTCCAGGCCTGCAATACTTGTTGAAGGTCCGGCTTGTGCAGCCGGCAGGGCCAGCAGCAGGCCAAGATAATTGCTATTACATCACGGCCGTTGGAGAGAAATTTCTGTCATGCCCCAGGCGACTTGGCCATCCTATTCCTTTGCGCAAGTACAGTAGATTTGCGGTGGGAGCCGAGCCAGAATCTTGCTGGACAAGATTTGAGCTGATCATGAAACTGCAGCACCAGGGATGGGAAGATGTGCAGCTGTCCAGCCAGTCCCCGAAGAAAACGGAACCGTACAGACATGGCAACCCCAAAGTTTTCTATCACTACCCGCAGGAGAATGGGGGACTGCACAAGGAGTATCTTCAAGTGCTTGTTCATGCGGAGAAGTTGTTTTCTCTCGGCCTGCGTGAAATACATTTCTTCCAGTTGAAGGCGTATTATGTGACATGCATGGAGCTGTTGGCCGCAGGCGGTTCTGGTCTTGGCAAGATGCAGCCACACCAGCCAGCATCATTTTACAAACTCCTGCTGCAGGGAAAAACCTCTCAGAAAAGAGCTGCAGCCCATGCAGGCAAAGGTGATGACGGACCCCACCTTGCGGATGACAGTGATGAAGGCCGTGCCGGCCGTGCTATGTCCTTGCCATGTCAAGAGAGAGAGAGAGAGAGCGAACATAGAATTGGGCAGAATTGTAGCTGGCGTCTGGCGTGATGTGTTTATTTGCCATTGTGAAACATCTTTGGAGACTGTGCTGCAGTTTGCCGTACGCCGTAGGTTCCAACTCTTAACTGTAACTGTAACTCTCTACTCTCTACCCTGCCCGCAGGCAATGTTATCGTTACCAAATCCACCGCTGCGCACGATGGGGATGATGACATGAACATGCGTGGCAACTTCCCATCGAAACGCCCTGGCCGTGTCCGCGGCCGTGGCCGTGGCAGCCGTGGTGGAGGCGCGGAGCAACGCATAGGTCATGTTCATTGTGGCATGAACAGAACATCAACCTTATTAACCTAATCTAATGAAAGATAGCCTTCAAATTCCCCCAATAGTGAGGTGAGGTTGCATAAATGCTTTGCGTCAGGGCAGTGCAGGGTTGGCAGTTCGCTGACTTCCTGAATCCAAAGCCTGAGAATCCAGATTTCATTGATAATGAACCAGCGCCAGCATTCATGGGAGGACGCCGTGGCCGTGGCCGTGGCCGTTCTGCCGCCTCTCCGTCTTCTCAGCAGCAGCAGCAGCAGCAGATGCAGGGACTCCCTGAGTTCGAGAACGACGGTCGCAGCCAGGAAGTGCATGCCAACATTGGCAGAATGGGTGAAGAAAGTGATGCAGAAACGGTGGCGTCCAGTCGCAGCAGCGGCTCCATGCCAGAGATTGTTGCTTCTCCTGGAGCTGATGAAGCTGTTGTCCAGAACCAGAACTGGCCTACTGTCAATGGTGATCTGTTGCGTGGGCTGGATGGGCTGGATCATATGTCAGATTACTCTCCGTCTCCTGTGGCAGTGGAGCCAGTGGAGCCAGTGGCGGTGTCAAAGGCGGATACAACGCAAGTTTCAGGTCTGTGCGCCGTGCCGCCCACGGCAGCTGAACTGGCTGCACCGGCACCGGCAACGCCGTTGCCCATGGAAGGCACTTTCTGTATTGATGCTAATGCAGACGCTGACATGGAGGTGGCAGCTGGAGTTCGTGACGGGCAAGCAGACATGGAATCTTCACCAGACAGTGATGAGGATGGGTTGCCCGGCAGACCCGGCAGACCCAGCAGCTCATCAAAACCAGATCCACCACCACCGCCGCCACCGCTGGCGCCGGCACTTGCAGAGACGCCGCCAATGCCAAAGAGTGGGGCTGCAACTGCAACGCAGGCGGAGGCGGAGATGAACGATAAACCGGCGCCACGCCGCTCATCATTGTATGGGTCTGGAGCCGCGTCGCTATTTTCGAAGACACCATTTGGTTTGGAGACAGACCGCTGATCAAACGCAATGACACCGCAGTTGCTTGTCATAGGAAGTTGTGAGAAATGAGAAGATATGTCATGTGTGATGTTTATTTTTTCTCCATCGAATCCAGGACCCAGGATAGATAATACCAGATTTCGTAGATTGCCGCAATTGCCGCCAAGGTTGGCTCCTATTTCGCGATCTGCAAGCGGCACAAGGGAAAGCGGGAATGCTCGAAGCAAATTTCCGTGAACAAAACTCATGCCGTGCGTCGTTTGAAGCATTGGTTGATCCAGGGGTACCACATGGTACAGCGAACAGGACAGGCTTCAATTGTTGAGGGCTCCGGCTTGTTTTCTTCCTTAGCTTTTGGCATCTCTGACCTCTGACCGTGGCCTGTGACCTGCAGAGCATTGTGTGCGCCCTAGGAGAGACAGATGAAGAATTCCGACGGCGACACGTCATGCTTCCTTTGGCAGATCCGGAGAGCCTTGGTACAGATCAGGAATTAGATGATCAATGGCAGCATCTGACTGCGCTTCATGGAGAGTAGTGTGGAGCAAAAAATCTTGTCACAGAATCTCGACATGTCTGCTGCGCATGGGATTTGGGGGGAATTGCTATGTGATTTCATTCGCGGGGTGCAAGATTGCGTTGCTTCCAACATGTTAAAGACAGTAGAGCTTTGCTACTTGAAGCATTGAAGCATCGTGAGTTCACAAGTGGAGCACCTCAGCAAGCTTCAAATCTGCAGCGTACAGCCTTAGCTCTGAATCTTGCCTGAAACCAGCTCTGCATCGTCACCCAGAACACGTCACTCGGCTTTCTGGCCTTGATCCAAAGAACCAGAACATCGAGCAACAGTTTTGTGGCGGGGGGGGGGGGCGGGGCAGGGAAGCACTAGTCTAACAACAAAACATAAAAC